CAGTAGAAAAGTGTTTCTAGGTAAATATGTAGTTGTACAGAACTATGTGATCTACTGGCAACAAAATATAAGTTTTTCAGGTAACTATGTAACACTACAGAACTGTAATCCATTAGCAGCAGTAGAAAAGTGTTTCTAGGTAAATATGTAGTTGTACAGAACTATGTGATCTACTGGCAACATAATATAAGTTTTTCAGGTAACTATGTAACACTACAGAACTGTAATCCATTAGCAGCAGTAGAAAAGTGTTTCTAGGTAAATATGTAGTTGTACAGAACTATGTGATCTACTGGCAACAAAATATAAGTTTTTCAGGTAACTATGTAACACTACAGAACTGTAATCCATTAGCAGCAGTAGAAAAGTGTTTCTAGGTAAATATGTAGTTGTACAGAACTATGATCCACAATAAGCAACATAGAAGTCTTTCTTGGTTGCAGTTCAATTTTATAGAAATATGATCCATCATTAGCACTACAGAAGTGTTTCTAGGTAACTGCGTTGTTTTAGAGGATTGTGATCCGCAATAAGCAGCAAAGAAATGTTTCGATGTCTGTGTCTATTAGTCGAATAGAACTGTGATACACACGACTTTAGAAGTTTTTCTCCATAAGCAACCTTCTTTAATATTCCAATAATCTATCTCAGTAACATAGAAACTACTTTCGTTCAACATAGAGAAAAATTAACACTTCAGAGACGAACTGGCTAGATATAACCAAACTTTCAAACCAATAAAACAAAAGTAAAAATTTTCACGTACGTCCTATCTTATGAAACACTATTTCTAAAATTGTTCATGCTATGGAAGTACTATACAATCAACTGAGTCTACAGATCGTTAATTGAACAGGAGATCACGTGACTTTTGCAAACGAATAGCATGCCAATAACCGTAATGGAGGTCCTTTTTTAAAGATATATAATTTAATAGGGATATATATATATATGTGTGTGTCGGTACGTGAAACACTCAGTGTCCTGTCCTGGACGTTTTTATGTTGATAAAAATATAACTGAAGTTTAAAACTCTATGGTGACTTGGCATCAATTGTAGATCATTTACCTAGGATAATTGTTGTAAAAAAACTCTATGGTGACTTGGCATCAATTGTAGATCATTTACCTAGGATAATTGTTAGTAAAAAAACTCTATGGTGACTTGGCATCAATTGTAGATCATTTACCTAGGATAATTGTTATAAAAAAACTCTATGGTGACTTGGCATCAATTGTAGATCATTTACCTAGGATAATTGTTATAAAAAAACTCTATGGTGACTTGGCATCAATTGTAGATCATTTATCTAGGATAATTGTTATACAAAAACTCTATAGTGCCTTGGCATCAATTGTAGATCATTTACCTAGGATAATTGTTATAAAAAACTCTCAGATCCATCAGGTGATCACTATTCCTTATAGATCACTCGGACTCAACGATTTAGTTAGAAGATTCTGTTTAACAATCAATAAGTAGGGATCGAATTTTAATATAACCTAATGGCATTACATCAATTGTAGATTCTTCACCTAGGATAATTCTTTACAAAAACTCTCAAACCCATCAGGTGATTACTATTCCTTATAGAGCACCTGGACTCTACGATTTTCTTGAAAGATTCTGTTTAACGATCAGTAGGGATCGAATTTTAAGATAATTGAATGGCATTGCATTAACTTCAACCCCTGTAAGACAAATGTAAGAAGATAAATTAAAATTAATTATAAGTATCATTGTTTAATGTCATAGAGGACAAACTTTAGAATACTAAACACCTAATATTTAAAGAGAGAGAGTGACATAACTTAGTATAATTGAATAAATTTTTACAGCGTGTGTGTAAAGTACTAAAGATACTAAACATATAACAGGTAGCGGTGTATAGTTTAGTATCATTTTATAACACTCTAGCGGCAGAGTGTAGAATACTATAATAGGAAGAAGGGTATAACTTAGTATCATTTTATAACACTCTAGCGGCAGAGTGTAGAATACTATAACAGGTAGAGGTGTATAACTTAGTATCATTTTATAACACTTTAGCGGCAGAGTGTAGAATACTATAACAGGAAGAAGGGTATAACCTAATATCATTTTATAACATTACCACGACAGTGTGTAGAGTCTAAACAAATAACATATAGAGATATATAACTTAGTGTTGTTGTTTAACCTTATATAGCGACAGAAATTATAATATTAACACCTAAAATATATAGGTACAACCCAATGTGAGTGTATAATGCTATAGAGCAACAATGTGTAGAATACCAAACACATGATGTAACTAAAGAGGTATAACATATTGTCGTTGTACAACATTAAACAGTAATATTGTGTAGAGTATTGAACACACAACATATAGCGATTTATAGTCTAGTATAACTTTATAACGCTATATAAACAGCGACAATATGTAGAATACTAAACACATAATTGTTTGAGATGTGTAGATTATTATCATTTTATAATTTATACAGCAACAGTGTGTATAATACTAAACACATGACAGGTTGAGATGTGTAACCTATTGGCATTTTATAATTTATAGAACAACAGTGTGTATAATACTAAACACATGACAGGTTGAGATGTGTAACCTATTGGCATTTTATAATTTATAGAACAACAGTGTGTATAATACTAAACACATAACAGGTTGAGAAGTGTAACCTATTATCATTTTATAATTTATACAGCAACAGTGTGTATAATACTAAACACATGACAGGTTGAGATGTGTAACCTATTGACATTTTATAATTTATAGAACAACAGTGTGTATAATACTAAACACATAACAGGTTAAGATGTGCAACCTATTATCATTTTATAATTTATAGAACAACAGTGTGTAGAATACTAAACATATAGCAAATAGAAATATATTACTTAGCATAATTGTTTAATGCTACAGTGACAGCATGTAAAATAAAAAACACGTGATATATTAAACTGTATAGCCTAACATTATTGCATCACATTACAGCGACAGTGTGGAGAATACTAAACACATAACTAGAAATATATAACTTAGTATCATTGTTTAACGCTACAACGACAGAGTGTAGAATACTAAACACATAACTAGAAATATATAACTTAGTATCATTGTTTAACGCTACAGCGACAGAGTGTAGAATACTAAACACATAACTAGAAATATATAACTTTGTATCATTGTTTAACGCTACAGCGACAGAGTGTAAAATACTAAACACATAATTAGAAATATATAACTTAGTATCATTGTTTAACGCTACAGCGACAGAGTGTAGAATACTAAACGCATAACTAGAAATATATAACTTAGTATCATTGTTTAACGCTACAGCGACAGAGTATAGAATACTAAACGCATAACTAGAAATATATAACTTAGTATCATTGTTTAACGCTACAGCGACAGTGTAGAATACTAAACACATAATATAGCTAGAGAGATAAAGTATTGTCATTGTATAACATTATATGGCATTAGTGTGTATAATACTATACTCATAAAAGACAAAGATATATATAGTCTTATGTCATTATAAAATGTTATTCAGCGAAAGTTTTGTATGTATGCAGCATATTAGACCACACAAATCTAAGTTCGCTCTCCGTAATCTCCAGAAGACTTGTTGAACATCAGGGATGAGAGGTATTCTACAGTATAAAAATAGAGAATTCTACACACTATGTTTTTCATCTACTTTAGTGTTTTTCATGACAAGTTTTTCAACTATGTTTGACATAGTTTGTAAATACATAAGTATATATATATATATATTTAATATGGACTAGCAGAGCGATCCTGCATGTCTACATTTGCTTTGCATCCTGTGTTTCGGTTTATATTGTTATTAAAATTTCTCTATTAGTACCAGGGTCTTTCTATTCTTGAATAGTTTTATTTATTTTTCAAATCCTGTAGAGCTTACTCATTGAAAGCTCTACAAAAAATATTTATATTTGTACAAAACGCCATTCAATCAAAAGTATACTGATTACGAAATGCGAGGTACTTATACGTAAGTCAATAGAATAATATTATATACTGCGACAGATAGTAAAATACTAAACACGCAACACTGATAAAAAATTGAATTCTGAACAACAATTTTGATCAAACACCTTTAAACATATGTCGAAATAATAACGTTAAATTCAGCAACAGATTGTAGACTACTAAACAATCAACACACAACTTTCTGAACACCTTAATTTCAGGTTAATATTCTTGTGTTATTAGAACTTCCAAAAGACTTAAAGAGAAGTTTTCATTATTGATGTATACAGTTATACATAGTAGCAAAGTACTTCAAAATCTTGATACCTTCAAAGGTAGTTAAAAGCGCCAACTAGCCTTCTGTTACATGAGGCTAAAAACGTTTCGTTCATTTCCTACTCAACAACTTATTGATAATCGTTATTGACAGTGTTAAAATGAGTAGTTTTTTGTTTTAAAATAGGAAACTACAACGAGAGTATGTTTCAGTAATACCTGACTTTTAAACAGAATATAAAGACCTGCACAAAACTTATATAACACAGCAAATTAATATGTTCAGAAATATGCAGCGTACTAACTTATCTCAATATATACGTTTCAGTGAAGATGCTGTTCAGGCTTTATGCATTAATATGATCATTAGCGAAGTCGATGGGTTAACTGGTTTTAAATGTAACTTACCTTGCAACTCGCCAATTAGCAGAAGCCAAATTATCAAACAAGCCTTGATGTTCACATTCATCTTCTTGTATGCTGCTGAAACACTTCTGAGAAATATTTGGTTCATATAGGTTTAATAAGTACAGTTTTATTCTTTGTTTTTATCTTTCATTCACCGTTCCATCTTTCCGATGACATTTTCACTTTTCCTTCTGCTGTTGGCCTCTTCTTCACGTCTCTTGGAGAAGAGTTCCTGGGATGTCCCAAAAAATGTTTTCTCTAACCGCTAGTGAGTATAGCTGCAATAACTACATCACCACAAGCCACCAGGACACAATAGCTGCTTTTCCTGGTGGTGCCTCACTACTTTGTGAAGTCACACCGCCTCTTCTATCGATCCGTAAACACCTAGATGGCGCTTCAGAGTAGGATTGTCTCTCAGCGAGCTAAATAGTCCGATTTGACCTGTGGGAAATTTAAGGTAATGAATAGTTAATTATACATTTGTTCTTATTGTGTATCAAAAGTCATGCTTCCATTTTGCTGCATTAATAATATTAATTCGAAAATTAAATTCATAAATTAATTTAGGAATGAAACTTTAATTTAGTTTGTAACAAACTTCAGGGAAGCAAACTTATTAATTAACCTTTGTAATCAAAATATAATATAAATCAATAGAAAACATGCCCATGAGTTTCTAATAATTGGTGCTCACGAAGATGATAACGAGTACAATGTACAAACTTATAGATTATAAATCTTCTTTTTCTTAATTATAAAGTGACCGAGTTGATTTTAAACCAGTCACTACTGATGGAGTCCACAAATTCCATCATTCTGATTAATTGTGTGCATTAGCCTGTTACAACACTCAGTGTAAAGAGATGACCAAAAACATAGGGTGAGATCATAATTTTTTTATCTAAAATACATACGAAACTCCTACAGTAACTGATGAAATTAACTACAATATTGACGATATGTTCACTTAGATGTTTTTTTTATATGACTCATGAGTTATTAGGAACTCTGTAGTAAGTATAAGCAAATCGGAATCATGTACGTCTTCCCCTTGGTTGAGGTGTTATGTTCTATACATTAAACTGGATCTTTAGAAAGCTAGGAACGGTGAGAGTGCTTCAGATGGCTTATGATCTTCACTCGTTCAGTCTGTCAGAAACATGCTATTCTGATTATTTTGTATATTTGTTGGAAAAGCAGACTATTAGCAACGTCAGACAGGATGCAGTCACTTATGTATTATCAAACATGGTTTTCTTTTATCTTAGTATTTTCCTTTAGCTGATTGGATAAGTTTTTTTTTGTGCGTATGTTTTTTCTTTTTTGTCTACAGAACTCCATCAGTAAAGTAAAAAAAAAGGTGCATTATAGATACTTAAAGCTTATTTTTCGCTATGAAAATCACCTATAAACGAACGACCAGCTTGCTTTGTGTATAAAATATAATAATTTTCTAATAACATTATTGAAACTTGCTTTCTTGAATAAATATTCGCGGATGGATACTCGTGATCATCTTATAGATACTTAAAGCTTATTTTTCGCTATGAAAATCACCTATAAACGAACGACCAGCTTGCTTTGTGTATAAAATATAATAATTTTCTAATAACATTATTGAAACTTGCTTTCTTGAATAAATATTCGCGGATGGATACTCGTGATCATCTTCAGTCTAAATGGTTGTTGTATTACTCTGTATTTACGAACAAATACTTATGTGGTAAATGTTTTACTGACAAAGACCGTCTCATTATACATTTTATAGGTAATCATGTAGTGAATCATTAATATAGAGATCATACACTGAAACGTATTATTTTAATGCAGAAACAGAAAGGAGAATTAAAAGTACTCCCTGAAAAGTTAAATATAAAAGAGATCTTATTGCACAGGTAAGTCTAAATGAAAACTGTTAGATTTTCAATACAGTAATTAAAGTCCATGTAATTTACGAACGGAAATTCGTGTACCAGCTGCGCCAAGCGTGGCCTAGCGGTTAACGTGCCGGATTGCGAATAAGAAGGTCCAAGGTTCAAGCCGTGATATGTAGCTGAACATGCTTTACACTTTCACCTGAAAGCAAACTATAGTTGTGACAGTCAATCACATCGCACTATTCGATTACAGATAGACTGATAATAGGTGGCGCGCTCTGTTCATTGATTATCCTCATCTAACCAGTAGTTCTAAATTAGGAAAAGCTAAGCCTTAACCTTAAGGGCTTTGACGTGGTCGTTGAGTCCAGATGTTGCATAAGGTATCGTTTAGATTGAAAACGTCTGTTTAAAAATGCAATAGCAACATTAACATGCCCCTAATGCTTATGTAGCCTTAAAACTTACATTTCAACAGAGTTTATTAATATAAAACTAAGAAAAAAAATTGGAATTTTCAAGTTGTAAATTTTAATTACATACATTATTTAATTTTGAAACACATATAATGCAATATGAATATACCTCTTTATCATTTTTATGCTTGAACGACAAGAGCTGTCGTCTAGCAACCACCAAGTATAATACCCAAGAACAAAATGGTTGTGAAGAGATATATTGAAGAAAATAACACACTTTTTGTGTACCTTTGTAAGTTTCTACTTACAAAATAGTGACTCAATGCTTATAATTAGAGATGTCTTTTTTTTACAGAAAAAGGTAAGTATAACACTGCTTTAAAACTCGCAGTTTGCTGAAATAAGCATTTGAAAATAACACACTTTTTGTGTACCTTTGTAAGTTTCTACTTACAGAATAGTGACTCAATGCTTATAATTAGAGATGTCTTTTTTTTACAGAAAAAGGTAAGTATAACACTGCTTTAAATCTCGCAGTTTGCTGAATATAAGCATTTGAAAACGAAATTTTTAAACTGATACATGGTTTATACAAACAGACAAATTGCTTTTTTGCTTTATTTTTCTTATTTTTTTTATAAAGTTCTATATTTTAATAAATTTCCATTTGAGGTTCGTCAGAAAAATCTGGTAATCAAAAATAATGGTTACATCTTTTTAACGCCCTCTTTCTCTCGCGCATCCATTTTCTTAGTATAAGAATGTACACGTCAGGCCCATGGGATTAGGGTTAGAGAAACCACGTCATTCTAGACTTCTTTAGTATGCTGCACTAAAACAGTTTTTTTTTCATTCTCTAATATCATACATGTAAACCCCCTGCGGCATCTAACACTTACTATATGAAATTACCGCTGTAATACAGGCGGAAAATAATCTAGTAAGGGGTTCAGCGGACCCGCTTAAAGGATCTGACAGAAACTGAACCAGGTTTTTCTGAGACTTCATCGTCAAAAGGAACTTTTAGTTGTCTTTAGTGATATGTGCATCAAGAAGGAATTGATTATCTTAAGCATTTTAGAAAGCTTTGTAGCGAGGCTGTTTTGGAAAAATATTAAGTTAAGAATATTAGAAAATCCTATTATCCTAATTTACTAACAGAAAGCCAAAATAAGATATCAAGATTTGAACGTAGTAAAAAAGTTTAAATTCGCAGAATAAAGTTCCGAGTTTCTGCACGTTTAAAGATTAGCCGACACTATCACTGTGTGGTATGGCCAGGTAGTTAGGGCACTTGACTCGCAATCTGAGGGTCGCGGGTTCGAATCCCCGTCCCACCGTTCAGCCGTGGGTGCATTATAATATGACGGTCAATCCCACAATTCGTTGGTAAAAGAGTAGCCCAAAAGTTAGCGGTGGGTGGTGGTGACTAGCTGCCTTCCATCTAGTCTTTCCCTGCTAAATTAAGGACGGCTAGCTCAGATAGCCCTAGTGTAGCTTTGTGCGAAATTCAAATCAAACCACCTTAATCACGGGTGACAGTAAGTTAGTCATACCTGACACTTGAACACCTATAATTATTCTCTCATTAGTGTTATCGCGTACCAAAACTACATTACTGAGTATTCAGGTTACTTGGTTGTTTAAACCTTGACAGCAGCCTATGCAAAACATGGGCTAAACAGCCAAGTCAGAGACCCCAAAGTTAAGTTATAGCCTTCTCCAATTTAGAACTGCCGAAGAAATAAAGAACTACCAATCAGCTACTCCAGCCACATACTAGAAGGCTACTTTTAACCGAATAGTAGGATGTACTGTAACAGTTAAAACGCCGTTACAGCTGAAAGTACAAATCGTGTTGCGTAGCACCACCTATCCTTGAATTCTCAGTGCGGTATATTACCCATTAGTCCACATTATATTGTTTAATTTGTAACAGTCTACAATCAGGGTTGAACAACAACCAAAAACAATTTATTTACTTAGAAATAAATTCAACACTTACCGAAAGACAATTAATAAACACGTGCCTGGCCAGGACTTGACATTAATGTTAATAAACAATATATCATAAATATCAAAAATAATTTCAAATGATAGAATCATGAGAAAGAACCAGAAAGAAAGAACGTCACTCCAAAAAATACAGCAAACACAATATTCCAAAAATACCTTTCAATATTAAGAACAATATCGAGTAATAAAGAGCAATAATTCACTAACTGCATCGTTCACTAACTATCTCGTGACGCTCTTAATGAAGCTTCTGGAAAGGTATTTATTCACTGAGTAGATCACGAGAGTACACTTCATGTGATCATAAATGTACATAATATTCTGCTACATTAATAGTATCTGTACGTCACCGCTAGGGAAGCTGGTGTCAGTTTCATCATATAGACATATTTACTCAAAATACCAATGATAAACTAGAAGGTGAGTTAGCGTTTTAATGCAATTAAAAATTCATAAATTAATAAATGAACGATAAACACAACCATAATCACAAAAAATAGAATTTGCTATGCCACGAACTCAAGTTTAACAAAAACGTTTTCAGTGGCGTATCGCGGCTTGAACTTTAGACTTTTTAGATCCGCAGCCCATTAAGCTAACCATTAGGTCACACCTTTCCCTGAATATTCACAAAAATAACTTCTTTGCAAAAGACTGTTAGAAGAGCATACGTTCTTAATTCAAAGTTATTTAACATATCATTATTTCAAATATTTGTGTTATTCAGAAGCATAGAGAAAACAATTGGAAAAATAGATATACTCAATTTCCTAGTTAATACATTTTTCTCAGCTTCTTGTGTATTGAAGTACACTTGAAAGTAAATCTCTTTTTCTTTACACACACTGTTTTAATCCAAGGTCCACGCAGCAGAAGTTCTAGTAAAGCCGTTTGGTCTAACAAAGTTGTTAATACAAAAAAAAAATGACCAAATGCGGAGGAATCTTATTACATATGAATGGCTGTTTGCTAAAGCACTTTAAAGTGCGACTGCTGTACCAACGGCTTATTACTCCACTGTCATTACAAATAAATCTTCAGAGTAACCCTTTTGTTCAGCCAGAGAAGTACTTAGCCCTCCGGGATTGTTTCTAGGCCTAGCTTTATGAAAACATTTGTT